TTCCCCCAGGCGCTGGACGGGGACCTGTACGAGCGGCTCCGGGAGCACTTGTCAGCCGCCAGCCGGACGGAGGTGGAGACCTGCCGGGCCACGCGGGACTGGTTCCAGGGCGTTGCAGAGGCATCCGCGCGGGTAACGGCACCGTCCCGGGAGCTGGGTGGGACAGGAGGGCACAGGTGAGCCCCCCGGCCCCACAGCGCTCCCCTGCCGCAGGTGTGCCGGGAGCAGGACCTCCTCCTCTTCCTGCAGGACCACCCCGCCTTCTCCCTGGCCCCCGAGCAGCGCTTCCAGCTCACCGGGGTGGAGGAGGTAGGTGAGGGGGACACATTACAGCAACGTGGGGGTCTGTGCAGCCAAGCCTTTCTCACCCCCGTGTCCTTGCCCAGGTGTGCCTGCTGCCGCCAGGGGATGATGGAGCCAGCCTGGAGAAGGAGGCCCGGCGCTGGGCCACGCGCGTGACCCGGGACCGCAAAAACAAGGCACACAGCGAGGAGGTGGGTGTTGTCCTGCCCCATGGGACAGGATGGGGGGCTCAAGGAGCAGCTCCATTCCCTCTCAGCAGCTCCCACCACCCTCTGACCCGCGGGTGCCCTCCCAGGTGCTGCAGAGGCTGGAGGCCAGGCGGCAGCAGGTCCCCGAGGGGGAAGCGGCGACCGTGGAGCGGCAGATGGAAGAAGCGAGGGAAAACATCCGGAAGGCGGAGGTGGGTCCCCCAAGCGGGTCTGTCACCCCCAGGGTGGGGGACACAGGGATGGGGAGGTGTGGTGGCTGGGATGTGGTGCCGGGGATGTGTCCCTGGGGATGCTCTACCACCGTGGCCACCACGCCGGGGATGGGGACAATGAGGTTGGGACTGGCTGTCCCCCCACCGTGGGTGTCCCCTTAGACTCTGGCACTGTGGGTGTCCCCAGGTCAGTCGAGTGAAGGCCGAGGCTCGGCTGGCACTGCTGCGGGCAGCAGGGCTGGACGTGGATGCCTGGCTGGCGGGGGCCATGGTGGGGACAGGCGAGGAGACACCCACGGGGCTGGATCCGGCCGAGTTCGATGACTACGAGGACAGTGACGAGCCAGACGGGGACGATGAGCCTGGTCCTGCTGCTCGCACCTACCCCTACACCTGCCGGGTCATCTTTGGGTACCAGGTACGGCCCCAGCTGCCTGTCTCTCACCCTGCCTGCCCAGGGATGGCATCTCAGCCTCCCTGCCACTTTGTCCCTCTGCCCTGCAGGGCTGCCAGGCGGACGAGCTGTCCATCACCCAGGGCGAAGAGCTGGAGGTCATCGAGGACGGGGACGCAGAGGAATGGGTGAAGGTGGGAGCAGGCTGAGACCCACCATGTCAAGGTCCCCAGGTTGTTCCCTGTCCATAGGCTGGGATGTTCACATGGTTTCTGCCCTCTCAGGCTCGGAACAAGGCAGGCCAGGTCGGCTATGTCCCCGAAAAGTACCTGCTGTCCCTCGGGTGCGAGTCAGGGGCCGGGCTCGGCCCCCCAGGACCCTCGGCATTGCACCGCCAGCTCTCCAGCATCATGGCAGCAGAACTGGTGCTGGAGCCTGGAGGTGGGTGCTGCACAATCACCCCCACCCCGGGGAGGGGGACGGGACCGTAGAAGGTGCTGAGCGCCCTCCCCATCGTCC